GCCAGGCTTATGAATTTTTAGATCCTAACGGACCTCAAAGGCTAACCCCCACTGAATGTGCAATAAAGGGAAGTTTTCTGTGTAGATGATTTTGTATATGAGTGTACATTTTTTTTAGTTTTTATGTAATCTGTGTGTGTTCATATATGTACTCACGTACATACACAAACCATCTTAAGGCAGGCCACTCTGAGCAGCAAATGACTGTAGAGAAGTCCCACCAGAGGGTAAAAAATTAACCCATCTGGCTGGGTGTGGTGGTGCACACCTGTAATCCCAGCACTTTGGGAGGCTGAGGTGGGCAGATCACCTAAGGTTGGGAGTTCAAGACCAGCCTGACTAACATAGAGAAACCCTGTCTCTACTAAAAATACAAAATTAGCCAGCTGTGGTGACTCGTGCCTGTAATCCCAGCTATTTGGGAGACTGAGGCAGGAGAATCACTTGAACCTGGGAGGCAGAGGTTGCGGTGAGCCGAGATCGTGCCATTGCATTCCAGCCTGGGCAACAAAAGCGAAACTCTGCCTCATAAAAAGAAAAAAAAGTACCCATTACCAACAAACCATCTTGAAGTGCAATATCCCAACCCAGAGACCACCATCTCTTGCCATTCACTGAGACTGCAGGCTTTGTTATCTAGTCTGCCCACAAAAGTGCTGGTTGACTATGTGATCTATGTAGGAGGCTTGCTAGGTCTGCCCTGCAGCCTCAGGGGCAGAGCCAGACGCCTGGGGCAGAAGCAGGGCCCAAGGAGGCAGGCTGAGCTCAATGTAGGGTGGGCATTTCTATCACTCAGCCACGGGAGGCCTGCTTCTGGAGCTAGCCAGCTCTCCGTCATGGCTGCGCAGGAGGAGAGGCTGGGATGACCACGTGCTGCCAAGGAGACTGCTGTCCAGGGTGGGCTGTTGAGAGAGACCTCTGCTGTCTCTGCCTGTTTGCAAATTTCTCCATCCTGATTCTGAGAGCTCTGAGAATGGGTGATGTGGAAGTGGTGGGTGCGGGGAGGCTGCGCTCACCAAAATGTCCAATTATCCAGGACAGCCTGTGCCCGACACTCCTGGACATGGAGGCTCACGGCAAAGCGCCTGTGTCCGCAGGCTGGGGCTGTGCTCAAATAGGGCATGCACATTCATTTCTCCTGAGGCATTTCCACTCTGTGAGAGCACTGACCACGTCTGACCATGTGCAAAGAGCTGCCCCAGGGATGGAGTTGTTGACCACGTGGACGACGGGCCTGAGAGCCCCTATCACAAGCCTCTGCAGCTGGAGTGTCCACAGGACTCTAAGACCTCCAGGTGTCAGGTGGTGGCTTCTGGACCCATTATGCAATATGTGATTTAAGCAGTGGAGGAGTTGATGGCCCCAGCCCTGCTGCTGCCTTCCCAGAGGCTAGGATGCAGAAATGAATACCAGCTGCCTTCCACGATGAAGTTGCAGGCAACACCTTAGACGCAACAACAAGGTAGCAGGAACCTGATCTCTGTTACAGCAGCTTAGCCCATAACCGTATTCAGCTACCAGGCGGAGTCCACAGCCCCTCCAAGGACTCCCTATCATGTCACCTTGTTCGAGCGTCCTCGGGCCTCTTATCATTAGCTGATGTCTGCTTATGAATTGCTTGTTTACTGTCTGTTCCCATACTCCCTGCTAAGAGTGCAAGCTTTATGAAGACAGGGCCTTCATGAAGGTTTTTCTTTTCTTCTTCTTCAATATTCCTAAAATCCAGAACAGCAACTGCTTCATAGGGGGTGCTTCATAAATGTGTGCAGTTGCGGAGAACAATGGTGGCATTGCAGTGAAGGTGGTGATGAGGGACGGAGAAGGGGAGGGGCCTCTTTAGACTTAGCTGCAACGCCCTCTGACCTGTTCACGAATTGTCAACACTATCCTGCCATCCCTTAGGGAGAAGGATGCCGAAACGGCTCAGACACCAGAGAGCCATGTCCAAGCCCAATGAAGGTGCGAGCACAAAGCAGAATGAGGTCTACGGCTGCCCACCCCTCCTTCTCCGCATTTTAATCCACAGTGACTGCCAAAATTCTGCCTCTTGCCTTGCATAGTACCTGACCTGCGGTGACTCCGCATCAAATATACATGGAATAAAAGAATGACTGCGTGCGTGCTGTGGCTGCAAGCACTTCATGGTGATTCAACCACATTAGCACTTTACACTCAGGCTCCTAAATTGGTCTTCAAGATTCTAGAATCAAAGGGAGTCAGTTATTGGCCAATTCTCTGATAGTTCCCCAAGAAATAGTTCCACTACAAGGAGATTGAGCTTCTGTGCATGCCACTGCGGGTGTGAACATGTCTGTGTCAGTCTGCATCGTATGTGTGAGTGTGTACATATGCATTGTGTGAGTCCTTCTTGCCAAGGTATGAGCATACACATCTGTGTGACTGTGGCTGTGTGTGTAGATATTCACATGGGATTGGTGAGAGCGTATATGGAGAGAGAGAGTGTGTCTGTGTGTGTGTGCGTGCGTGTGTGTGTGTGTGTGTGTGTGAGAGAGAGAGAGAGAGAGAGAGAGAGAGAATTCTTGGCTGCAGAATCTGAATTTCTGCTAGCACTATTTTCCTGATACACACCCAATCTGGATCCCCTTTCTTTTCCTTTCTTCTCAGAAATCCATTACTGAAAGGTTTTTTACCCGCCTCCAGGGGGAGGGGGTTGGGGGAAGGAGACGCTAAAGTCACAAGGCCCAGATCAAAACACTCAGCAGCTAAATGAATTCGGCAGCATTTTCCCGCATGACTTGGAGGGATAATTTAGTGAGGCCGCCAGCTGGAGGGAAAGGGATTAATTCTGCACTTAGCACAGCTCCAGTGAATAATTCATTACTGGAGACCTTTGTGCCCAGCCCCTGGGCAATTGGGGAACTGTCCTGCCCACCTGCCTGTTGCCTGCCTGGGCCCACTAGGCCATCAGTCACCTGACCAGGGGCACCTGACGCTCCTTTTAGTCCCGGGATGTACATGGTGGCATTGCAGCGAAGGTGGTGATGAGGGACGGAGAAGGGGACGGGCCTCTTTAGACTTAGCTGCAACGCCCTCTGACCTGCTCATGAATTCTCAACACTATCCTGCCATCCCTTAGGGAGAAGGATGCCGAAAGGGCTCAGACACCAGAGAGCCATGTCCAAGCCCAATGAAGGTGTGAGCTCAAAGCAGAATGAGGTCTACGGCTGCCCACCCCTCCTTCTCCTCAGTGGAAGGGGCAGGAAGTGGAGGGAGGTGGGGAGGGGCTGGCAGTGGCCACAGGCAGACGCTAGACCCTGGGAAGAGGCCCTGGAGGGTTTGGGCTTCAAAATGGGAAGTTTGGACGCTTTTCTCCAAAATTCTGCTCCCTCTTTCTTGGAGTTTTTGGCTTCTACCCTTGGGAGGGCAGTTCTGAACACCTACAGCAGGGAGTGCCAATGGGGGTCTCAGCCCCTTTCCAGAGGCCTTGTAAGGACACTTTCAGCATGGTACTAGCCCAGATAGACTCCTTATACCCCACAGCGTAGGACTGCCTGTGTTCTTCATGAGTGAGGTCACAGAGCCAAGTCCTACCCCAGAGCCGATGGATGTTTTTCCTGCGTGGGAAGAAGGCAGGAGTGGGCTGGCGTGGACATTAGTCCCTGCAAGCATTTTCTGGATTCATAGTCCTAAACCACCCATGTGTCAGCACCCCTGAGAGGAAAGGGGGAAAGTCCAGCGGGTGTCCGGCAGGTGCACTGCAGCCAGATGAGCAGGGTCTAAGCTGGGCTCAGAGACCAGGTGTAGCCAGCTAGAGGGATCGAGGCCCATCCAGCAGGCAGGGCTCAGCCCTGGGTGTCTTCCCATTTGGACCAAACCAGATGTGGTAGACAGAATTCCAAAAATGGGCCTCCAAGATTTTACAACCTCAGTCTTGGAACCCGTGAATATGATAATCGATCACTCCTGGGATTATGTTTGTTATATGGCATGGTTGACTTTAAGATAGGGAGATGATTGGGGTGGGCGGACCTCATCACCCCAGCCCCTCTAAAAGTTCCTCTAAAAGCACCTCTAAACGTTTTCTCTGGCTGCTGACAGGAGAGGAAGTCAGAGTTTTGAAGCGTGGGTTGGGCGTGGTAAATCCTAGCACTTTGGGAGGCTGAGGCAAGTGGATCACCTGAGGTCAGAAGTTTGAGATCAGCCTGACCAACATGGTGAAACCCCATCTCTACTAAAAATACACAAAATTAGCCGGGTGTGGTGGCAGGCGCCTGTAATCCCAGCTACTCAGGAGGCTGAGGCAGGAGAATCATTTGAACCCAGGAGGCGGAGGTTGTGGTGAGCTGAGATTGCACCACTGCACTCCAGCCTGGTGAAAACAGCAAAACTCTGCCTCAAAAAAAAAAAAGTTTTGAAGCATGAAGGGGACTGGACATGCCTGCTGGCCTAAGATGAACAGGGCCATTGTGAAGGGGCATGTGGGCTTCCCTCAGGAGCCAAGAGCTGCCCAGCTGACAGCCTGCAAGGAGACCAGGATGGGAGTCCGGCACTGCAGGGAGCTGGACTATGGCAGCAGCCTGAATGAACTTGGACGCAGATTCCTCCCCAGACCCTCCAGAAAGGAAGGCGACCCTGCCAACATCGTGATTCCAGCCACCTTGTGTCACGGGACCTACCTATAGAAGTGTCAGCTAATAAATGGACATTGCTTTAAGCTTCTTAGCTGGTTCTAAAGCAATAGGAAACTCATATCCTAGTTCAGAACGCTTGCAGAATCTTGATTCCAGTGAGCCAGACTTCATTTGGACTGGGTCAGAGGCTGACTCCCGGGTCTGGGTGGCCCTCTGCTTACAACTGTCTTCTTCCTAATCTCAGCTCTGTGTTTTTCTGGAGTCTCAAATCACCCTTAGACGTTTCCATCCAAAGCAGTAGTCCCAAACTCCCTGAAGTCCCTGAACAAAGCCAGCAATTGTGAAGGAAGTTGGGCCTCACTGACATGTGTCTGCTGGCCCTGACCCTCCCCTGGCCCACAGCCTTACCTCGGAGGAAAACAGCTGGAAGGAAAGATCCACTGTGGGGGCCTCACCACTGATAGTTTTCAGGCTGGTGTCCTGGGGAGGAGAAGGGAGCACTCAGACCATGCTGGCTAGGACAGCTTCCGCCTCTGCACCACCTGCTCTTCCAGATTTCCCCGGAAGGTGTCACCTGGGGGCTCACCCAGGAGGGTGAGAGGGAGGTGGGAGCTGGCCTCCTGCTTCTGCCCCCGCAAACCGCCTTCATATCTCCCCTTCTAAACCCCCCTAGAGACCCGTTAGGCACCAGCAGGCACATCTGACAGATTCTCATTTGTTGAGGTCTATTATGTCAGGATGGCCAGAGTATTTTAGGGGAAAAGGTGACATAGGAGTAGACAGTGATGGAAACAATATTATTAACTCTTATTGAAAATTTATTCTAAGTGCTTCCCATCGGTTTTCTCACAAAATCTCACAGCAACCCTATGAGAAAATTGCTATTACCATGTACCCATTTTACAGGCAAGGAAACTGAGGCATTGAAACTTTAAGTAGTTTTCCCATGGCCATGTTAGCTAGTATGTGGTGGAACCAGAATTTGGACCCAGACAGTCTGGTTCTAGAGCCTGAGCTCTGAACTCTCTTGTTATACACAGAGATTGTGGACTTGGCATGCTGTTCCGGCTTTAGAGACGAGGACTCTAAGGTTCAGAGTGGTTAAGTTATGTGCCTGAATTTCCACAGTGAGGATGGGACCAAGACAGGATTTGAACCCGGGTCTAGCTGGCTGGAAACCTGAACTCTTGCACTGTCCCAAGGGGTCTCCCTGGACTTCTCTCTCAAGTTGCTCAGAGACAATCTCTCTGGCTTGGTTCATCATAGCCCCAGAGGCAAGACAAGACCGGCTTCTGGGGTTACAGGGAGCTCCTCACTCCTAGACTGGGTGACTTCCCTGGTGGGTGCCTTGAGAGAAGCTTTTGGAGAAGCCAAATTCTCCTGTGGAGGTGTGGTGAGGTGGAGCAGGGTGAGGCGGGTGGGGGCAGGTGGGCATGCCAGGGGCCCAGTCTAGGGCAGGGGGCTCACCACGATGGGCAGCCGCTCCACGCGAAGCCCATCCATGCCTTTCCCTGTCAGCATCTTCCGGTACAGACAGCTCCTTAGCGGCAACACGGAGATACCCAGGGGCTGGGCGAGGGTCCACGGCTGGCTGCCTTTCACTGCGGGGGAGGGATCAGCTGGGGCTCCTGCCAAAGCCCCCACCTGGGCCCCATCCTTTAATACCTGACATCCAGTCCTCCTGCCTCCCGCCGCCACTGCCACCTGCTTTCCTGCCTCCTGGCCTTTCTCTGCACATACATGTCTTCTCGTCTTCAGGGCTTTGTGAACTCAAAGCCAACTCTAAACATATTCTGTGTGTCTGGGAAGTTATAGGCAACACCCTTGTCTCTGGCCTGTGGGGGCCTTAATCCTACAGTGCAGAAGACTGTGGATCAGTGCATCTCTGAATCCCATCTCCCTCACCCTTCTCTGTGAGTTCTGACGGCTCCACTGTCCCCATCAGTGATGGGTGCAATAAAACAAAGCATGGGGCTAAGACCTAGTATGGGACAGGCCCACGTGTCCTGGCCTGTGGACAAGGAATGCAGCCAAGCTCTGCTCTGCCTGCACTAAGAAGTAGCCTCGGCACCTGGGAACCATCCATCCCTGCGGGAGGATGGTCTGAACACCCTTTCAGAATACAAGTCTCCTGAGGCATGGCTGCCCTGGCAAGGCAGCAGGGGGCACGTACTTGAAGCTGAGGGGTAGTACTCCAGCACCAGGGCTGTGTCTTCTGAGAAGCTGGTAGCTCCATCTCGGCCTTGGAAGAGGAAAGACTGATTCCACAGGGGCTGCTCTGGGGGTCCTCCAGGCCTGGACAGCTGGAGGGAGAGGGTAGGAGCAGGTGGTGGGGCCACAGCTTCTCCCAAATCAAGACATGCTCAGATACTTGGTTGTGTGTATCTACATTTGTCACAAATGTTTCTCCCAGTTACAAAAGCAAGTTGTCTGGGCATGGTGGCTCACGCCTGTAATCCCAGCACTTTGGGAGGCCAAGGCAAGCGGATCAGTTGAGGTCAGGAGTTCAAGACCAGCTGGGCCAACATGGTGAAACACCATCTCTACTGAAAATACAAAAATTAGCCAGGCATGGTGGCACACCCCTCTAGTTCCAGCTACTCGGGAGGTTGAGGAACAAGAATCACTTGAACCCAGGAGGCGGAGGCTGCAATGAGACAAGATCATGCCACTGCACTCCAGCCTGGGCGACAGAATGAGATCTGTCTAAATAAATAGACCGGGCGCAGTGGCTCACTCCTGTAATCCTAGCACTTTGGGAGGTCAAGGTGGGTGGATCACCTGGGGTCAGGAGTTCGAGACCAGCCTGGCCAACATGGTGAAATTCCATCTCTACTAAAAATATATATAAATTAGCCAGGTGTGGTGGTGGGCTCCTGTAATTCCGTCTACTCAGGAGGTTGAGGCAGGAGAATTGCTTGAACACGGGGGGTGGAGTTTGCAGTGGGCCAAGATACTGCCACTATACTCCAGCCTGCCTCTGTCTCTAAATAAATAAATAAATGCAACACACACATAATAAATACATTTTGGAAAATACAGAAAAGTAGAAAGAAGAAAAACAACCCCTGTGTTCCCATGATAAACACGACAATTGATAGACCTGTGTTTCTTCCTAGATGTTTTTGTGTATATTTTGTATGTAATTGCCTCTCTTCATTTACTATCGGTAAACTGTTTGACTCTGCCCCCCTCCCCCCGTAGCTCATCATCTTCCAGGAGGATAGGGGACAGACAGGCACACACACACACACACACATATACATGCACACACACATACATGCACGTGCACACACACACACACATGCGCAATACATGTAAAGTTGAGTCTAGCATCCTGCCTTTTTCATTCACCAGTAAAACCTATGCATATCCAAAGTCACAAAAAACTCTCGTTACCCATGACTTTAGTAACTTCAGAATATTCTGTCATGTCCAAGTGCCCTGATTTCTCCCTTCCCATTTTCCCCTATAACACTGCATTGAATGTTTTCTACCACGTATCTTCACATCGCAAGTTACTTTCTTTCCACAACTACCTACGATGGAATCGCTGAGTTCAAAGACGTGTATTTTAGGACACCTCATTCATTATTGGTGAACTGTTTTCCTAAAGTGTTGCGCCAATGTTCACACCCATGCCTGGTGGTGTCACAGATGCCAAAATGGACATGACCTCTGTCTGTGTCACAAGCCCCTCTCTGCCCCACACAGCTTCCCCAGCCCCTTGCAGAGGTCAAGACAGCTCTGCAGACTACAGAGCCTCCGTGTGCCCGCAGTGTGGGCCAGAGGGCACATGGGAGAGAGACATGACGGCACCCCAGGCCAGCAGTTGGGGCACACACCTGGGTATGATTTAAACAATGAAATGAGCAGTATGAACTATAGCACTGCCCAATAAGACAGCTATAGGAAATATTCCCGTGGGTGGTCAGAAAAGCCTCCTTGAAGGAAGCAGAGCCAGAGAAAGTTCCTGAAGGAAGGTCTGGCTGGGGGAAGAGAGGGATAAAAGTCTTCAGCATGGGAACACAGCACAAGGAGAAATGTGGAGTGGCACTGAGCACAGCCTGTGCAGAGGATGCCTGGAATGAGAGACGCCAGGGGGAGGCCCAGCATCTGCCAAGGCCAGAAGGTGGGAGATGGGAGATGGCCATCAGCCTGTACCTCCCAGCGGGCAGCCCTGCAGGGTCCCAGCACAGGGTGGGGCTGTGGGTCATTGGCACAGATGCACCAAGTGGCTGCCTTGCCTCTGTTCCCCAGCCAGAGGCTGTCAGCAACAGTAGCAGCCGCTCCCACTTCCTGCTCCCCCGCAGGAATCAGTCATTGCAAAAGGTCAGCACAAACGCATCGCCGCTCTAGGAGTTATTGATGCGGGATCATGAAACATCAGCGTAGGTCCACTCCCCCCACAGCGGCAGGGGCCTGATGACGGTCACACTAATGGGCCTGGTTTGCCCAGGCCCAGCCCAAGGCTCAGCTGTGTCTGCCCCTTCCCGTGGAGAGATAGGCTGCAATCACTGCAGGGCTAGCGTGTCCTGGACACCTGAACAGACTGCAGAGATGGGAGTGTCCCACTCCTGGTGGGAGCTTGGCCACCAGGTCCGGCGAGAGAAGTTGGCTCTGAATTCTGTGGGACTTGGGAGTGATCTTTCAAGATTGATCCCCAAACCACATCCCTCCCAGAGCCACCCCATTCTCCTGGATACAGGAGGGTCCCCATGGCTGCCACTGTCTGCCAGGCATTGGGGCACCTGCTGCCCATGCCTTGCTCCTATCCTGGAAGAGTGTTATTTAGTAGATGTAGCTGCCCTCTCTGGGATCTATTCATGTGTCTAAGCAGAGCCTACAAACCCAGAGGTGGTGCCCAATAAGGAACAGCCCTTTCCCTGAGCAGTTTCCCAGGGCAAGGCACCTAGGAAAGATCCCTTCAGACCTAGGACTGGGGAGGGAGGGTGTCAGCTTCTCTTGTGTATGTGCAGGCAGGAGTGGCGGGGACTGGAAGTTAGACCTGCAGAGTCTGACGCCAGAGCCCTGGTGAGGGTGCTGTGGCTGATGTGTGTGCAGGGTGGGGGCAGGGAGAGGCAGGCACTGCCTGCAGATGCTAATGGGAAGGGCCACAGCCGCAGTGGAATTACGGAATGTCATTAACCCTCAGCTGTGATCTTCAGAAAAGCCATTAACCCCCAGCCATGGAGGCAGACCTGCTTCCCCTGGGGACACAGCCTTCATTCCATGGCCCCCCTCATTTCCCCTGGGCCCACCCACACCCACCTCTGCCCGCTCTGCCCAGGCGTAGTGGCCGCCATCTGGAGAAGTTGCTGCCGGCAGCAGATGCTGGGCTGGGGTCTCCAGGGAGCTAGGACCCTTTGGCTCTGGGCCTGGGTCTGCCTTGACCTTGCCATGTGACCTTCAACAAGTCCCTTCTCCTCTTTGGGACCTAGTTTTCCCATCATCCAAGGGGAATAGGCCTCAAACTCATTTTGAAAGCTTGTTGTGAGGTTAAAGGAGACAATGGATGCTTTGCTATTAAGATGAAAGTTCTACTCCACTAAGCAAATGTTGACCCTCCACGCCAGAGGCCCGCAGGGTGCTCTGTCCACGACCCTGTAGCTCACCATCTTGCAAGAGGATAGGGGGCACACACACACACACACACACACACACACACACACACACACACACACAATGCATGTAGGGTCCTAAGCAGGCTGTGGTTGTGGGAGCTGGGGTGTGCGAGGAGAAAGCCATGATTTCTTACCCGATTCCTCAAGGAGGGCCCGAAGGAGAAGGGCAGCAGGTAAGGAGGAGGAAGGCCACTCCAGGCTTAGTGCAGCAGAGACAGAGGCTGCAGCTGGGAGGGGGCAAGCCATCCAGGGAGGCTGCAGAATGCCTATATGAGCTGGAGCCATAAGCCAGGAGGCTGGAGGTCATGGGGCCTTGTGAACCTGGCTGAGAGCGGGGCTTTGCCTTGTGATAGGGATGAGGAGCCCAGGGGAAGGGCTAGGCAGGGGTGCCCTAGCTGCTCCTCAGAGAATGAGTGGCAGTGGCCTGAGGGGAGACCAGCACTAGGGCAGGGTCTGTGAGGATAGAAGGGGCCACAGGAGAGCTTGGGGACAGACCAGCTGTAGGGCTGAGAGGAGGAGATGGTGGTGGGCACACATGGCTTCCCGGAGCTCCGCCCCAGCTCTGCAGGAGACAGGAACAGGGGCAGCTTGGTGGGCAATGGGCCCCTTCCAAGGTGCTGGTGTAGGAGTAACTTACACGGCCCGCCCTATGTTGGTTCCAGCAGGCTGGACCAGATGAAGTCTGACTGGCCACCTATCCCTTAACTCACCAGTTCAGGCTTTGCCATCATCACCAGGCTCCACTGAGGGCTGCCTAGCCCACCACCATTCCCCTCCCTGCCTCATCACCAGCAGATGGCCTTTGGGTTCGGGTGACCCATAACCTTCCACAGTAATACCAGCAAGGCAGAACCACACCCCTCCTCAGTGATTGGCTCAGGGAAGTGCATGTAACCCAAACCTGGCCAATGAGACAGGAAAGAGGTCTGCTGAGGGATGGCTGGGTGAGGTTGATTTTCAGTTGCTCCTTTTTTTTTTTTTTTTTTTTTGAGACGGAATCTTGCTCTGTCACCAGCCTGGAGTGCAGAGGCACGATCTCGGCTCACTGCAACCTCTGCCTACCAGGTTCAAGGGATTCTCCTGCCTCATCCTCCTGAGTACCTGGGATTACAGACACCCACCACCACACCTGGCTAATGTTTGCACTTTTAGTAGAGACAGGGTTTCATCATGTTGACCAGACTGGTCTCGAACTCCTGACCTCAGGTGATCCACCCACCTCGGCCTTCCAAAGTGCTGGGATTACAGGTGTGAGCCACTGCACCCGACCTCCAGTTGCTCCTTAAAACCACCTGCAAAAAGAGAGGCTGCTGCCGGGCACAGTGGCTCATGCCTGTAATCCCAGCACTTTGGCCTGTAATCCCAGCTCTTTGAGGCCAAGGCAGGTGGATCACCTGAGGTCGGGAGTTCGAGACCAGCTGGCTAACATGGTGAAACCCCGTCTCTACTAAATGTACAAAATTGGCTGGGTGTGGTGGTGCATGCCTGCAATCCTAGCTACTTGGGAAGCTGAGGCAGGAGAATCCCTTGAACCCAGGAGAGGCGGGTTGCAGTGAGCCAGGGTGGTGCCACTGCACTCCAGCCTGGGTAACAGAGTGAGGCTTGGTCTCCACAAAAAAAAATAAAAGAAGAGAGGCTGCCTCTTTTCTGCTGGTCTTTCATTCTATTTGGGTGGGATGCCCCCATGAGCCATTAGCCAGCTGGAGATGGTAATTCATGGGTGTTGGAAAGATCCTGAGACCTCAAGGACACTTTTGAGCCTGAGCAACCACCAATTCTGGCAGCATCCTATGTCGTGATTCAATGTGGTGTGTGACAATAAATATCCTTAGTGTTTAAGCCGATCCAAGTTGGGGTTTCTGTTAATTGGAGCCAGATGAGAAAGGGCAGTGATGAGGCTAGCCTCAAAGGGGGCACCGGCACTAAGGGAGATACAGCTCTGAAAAGAGTGGAACCCATTTATCATGGACCCTGGGCCTGGGCACTTTGCAAAGATTATCCTTTGCATTCCCCTGACAGCCCAAGGAGATTGGAATCAACGGGTCCAGAGAAAGGAGCAGCTTACCAACGATCATGCAGTCAGTAAGTCACAGAGCTGGGGTCAAATCCAGGTCAAACAGTGCTTTTGCATGGTGACAATTGGTGAAAAATCACAGCCACCCCCAAGATGTCAGAGAGGGCAGGCCCTAGAAATTACCAAGTTCAATCTCACCCGCTCAGCTGTAGAGATAAGGGGACTGAAGGTCAAAGGGGACAGGGCGGCGTTCTGTGTGAGGTCTGAGTGCAGGCTGCTGACTGGTGCCCCTCCAGGTAGGGCTCTGCCCTGGCAATCCCCACCCCTCCTTCCCACAGCAGCCTGCCCCTGTTCTCTCACTGCTGTACCTGGGCACCTCCGTGCCAGCTGCCAGCAAATTCCCAACCTGGCCCAGCGGCCATGGGGTTGGGTGATGTTCAACAAGTGTCCTGCCATTGCTGGACCTCTGGCTCCAGGTCCTACACATGCAAAAGGCATTGGGGGCAAGTCTCTGTAGTGAGGGGCGCCTCCCCCACCCAGACTAGTTAGGCAGCAAAGGCAGCCAGAGCGAGCCTGGGGGTGGGAGGGGGCGCACTCATTAAAGCAGGCAGCGCCTCCTACCCCTTGGGACAGCCTGCTGATTGGTTCTTAATTTTCTAGGCAAATGCAGGGCCATGTGTGAAGTAACTCTGGGGAAATCAGGCAAAGGATTGGTTTGGGTTTGAAGCCTTTGTCCCCAGGGTCCCCCTTTGTCCCGCTCCTCCCCAACACCATCACTCTACCCCATGTCTGAGCCTTCTTCAAATGTCTTTGCCTTTAAATGAAGGCTGGGCTCCAAAGGGGTGTCTTATTCTATTTTTGCTATACCAGACATAAGTATTGGTGGGCAGACGACAGCAGGAGGACCTCCAAAAATCCACCTGTCCTTCAAGGTCCCTAGGAATGTTGGGACCATTGTGTGGGGCAACCTGGCAGTGAAGCGCAGACCATAAGAGACCATCTGGCTGTTCCCCCAGACCCAGACATGGTCTGACCATACCCCAGCCCCCAACCACATACTCAAACACACGGCCCTCCTGTCTGCCCTGACAAGAGTCCCCACCTCACACTTGTGCTCTTGCTGTGTCCAACTGCCCTGCCCTGTACCAACCCTTCCTCTGTTAAAAATTCAAGACCAGGTGCGGTGGTTCATGCCTGTAATCCTAGCATTTTTGGAGGCCAAGATGGGTAGATCACGAGGTCAGGAGTTCAAGACCAGCCTGGCCAAGATGGTGAAAGCCCGTCTCTGCTAAAACTACAAAAATTAGCCAGGTGGGGTGACACCTGTAATCTCAGCTACTCAGGAGGCTGAGGCAGGAGAATCACTTGAACCTGGGCGAGGGCGGCAGAGGTTGCAGTAAGCTAAGATCGCGCCATTGTACTCCAGCCTGGGTGACTGAGTGAGACTTTGTCTCAAAAAAAAAAAAAAAAGACTACCTTCCCTAATCCAGGCTTTACATCCCTTTGCTCTGATCAAAAAAAAATTTTTTTTCCCAGGCGCAGTGACTCATGCCTGTAATCCCAGCATTTTAGGAGGCCGAGGCAGGTGGATCACCTGAGATCAGGAGTCCAAGACCAACCTGGCCAAACTGGTAAAACCCCATCTCTACTAAAAAGACAAAGATCAGCCAGGTGTGGTGTCGTGTGCCTATAATCCCAGCTACTTGAGAGGCTGAGGCAGGAGAATCACTTCAACCAGGGAGTCCGAGGTTGCAGTGAGCTGAGATCACGCCACTGCAATCCAGCCTGGGAGACAAGAGCGAAACTCTGTCTCAAAAAATAAATAAATAAATAAAATGTCCATAACACAACGTTCACCACTGTAGCCATTTTTAAGTGTATGGTTCAGTGATGTTAAGTGCATTCGTATTGTTGTGTAACCATCCCCACTGTCTGTTTCCAGGACTTTTCATCACTTGAAACGGAAACTGCATACCCGTGACCCGTAACTCCCCGTTCTCCTCCTTCCCCAGTCCCTGTAGCCATTGTTCTACAATCTGACTCTGAATTTTCCTATTCTAGGTATCTCATCTAAGTGGAATCATACATTTGTCCTTTTATATCTTCTCTCCTCTGATGTTATAGCCCTGACAGGCCCTCCTGGTTTGTTATTAGATTATCCATTATCTTGCCTTGATGTTCAAATTTTCGCCCATGTGACCACCATCTTCACCAGACCAAGAGCTCCTGGAGGGCATTTTCTCTGTGAGCGCAGCCCTGGGTATGCCTTGGGATGCAGTCAACCCTTACTCAACAGTCCAGGGAACTGCTGACTAACCCACTGAGTGGGTGAACAGTGAATATGTGGGGGACTTACTGGAAGCTGGAACCAGTGCGGAGGGGACATACCTGAGGGCATCCGTTCTGGCTGACCCGAGGCACGTCAAAGTTCATCACAGACGGGATAGGGAAGGAGAGTGGGGTGATGGGAAGCCCCAAGGAGGTCAGGTCCCTGTTGGCCTGGCTGACCCTGGGGAGGCAGGGAGACAGGATCAGTGCTCTGGGATCTGCACCTGAGCCTGGCAGCCTGGGGTCCCCACTCTGACTCTGGGTTGATATGGGAGAAGGGAGTGCAAGGACCCTGCCAAGTTTGGACCTGGGCCTCATGACAAGTGGGTACCACTGGGCTGGGTGTGCATCAGTCATCTTCCTTCCTCCAATAAGCAAGGGGGCTTCGTAGGTCATACAAACTCAACGGGAGGTACAGATAAGTCGGGGCATCAGGGCAAATTGGAAGTGACTGAGACAGACCCTGTCTCCCACAAGATGGTGTTGTCGCAGGGAGTGCACGCTTATTGGGAAACTTTCCCACTGTGGCCAAGTATGAATCTCCGGAGGACTAACTCCAACAGACTCAAAGGAGGTCTCGGGGGGAGGGGACATGTTAAGGCCTCCAGGATGAGGAGGGAGGGGACACTGGCAGGGCTAAAGACTGTGAAGTTCTGCCTGGGCACAGTGGCTCATGGCTGTAATTTCAGCACTTTGAGAGGCCGAAGTGGGCGGATCACGAGGTCAGGAGTTCAAGACCAGCCTGGCCAACATGGTGAAACTCCATCTCTACTAAAAATACAAAAATTGGCTGGGCATGGTGGCTCACGCCTGTAATCTCAGCACTTAGGGAGGCCGAGGAGGGCGGATCACCTGAGGTCGAGAATTAGAGACCAGCCTGACCAACATGGAGAAACACTGTCTCTACTAAAAATACAAAATCAGCCAGGCGTGGTGGCACATGCCTATAATCCCAGCTACTCAGGAGGCTGAGGCTGAAGAATTGCTTGAACCCAGGAGGCAGAGGTTGCGGTGAGCTGAGATCGTGCCATTGCACTCCAGCCTGGGCAACAAGAGCAAAACTCCTCAAAAACAAAAAAAAAGACTGTGAAGTTCCTAGATGGCCTTTAGGGCCAACCACCGGCTGGAGCCTGTGGCCCTGAGATGGAGTGGGAAGGGGAGTGTGGAGGTGGTGGGTGTGAGGCAGGGAGGCAGGCTGGAGGGGCTCAGGCCCCCCGGGCAGGGAATGAGGACCCTTCTTGTTCCCCTTCACACACTCTGTAGCCGTCAGGCCTCGTATTGGCACTCATCCCCACCACCTCTCCTCCAGCCTTTCAGGGGGCTGGGGCTCTCCCTGGGGAAAGAAAGACATGGTCTGGTCTGCTGCAGGAAGCTTACTAGGACCTCCGACCCAGTAAGGAGGCTTGAAGGGCCTTAGGGGAAAAGGGGTTTCCAGAGGACCTGGAATCAGCCCTTAGCAGCAATGACAGCCTTGCCCCCTCCTCTGGTCTCTGCCCTCCCCTCCCCGCCCGTGCCCACCTGGCCCCACTCACTTGAATTCCTTGTAGTTGGGAACAACCCGGGCAATCACCACAATGGGGTTGGGGTTGTTGGCCAGGGGCTCGTTGAATCCCCGGAGAAAGATCTGGAGAGGAGAGGAGGCAGGTGAACCTCCATGTGCCCTTGGGACCTTCCAGAGACAGCCAGCCAGCCTGCCCGCCATCTTTCTCCCCAGCTGTGGGCTCGTGCCTGCCTCCACACTTGACAGCCGTTCTTCCCTGTTCTTTGCCTTCCTCGGTTCCCGCCTGGCACCAGGGTGCCCTCCCTCGGGAAGCCTCCTCTGCCTAGCTGAGGCAATGGCCCCTGCCCTCTGTCCTGGGATTTGCCAAAGGATCTCTTACACCAGCCCCTTTGGGGAGAAAGGGGGCGATGAGAGTTGGGGCCTGGGAAGGGAGGTTGTGTTCTAACCTCGGCCCCTCCACTGGCTCCTGGGGAGGGGAGGGCTAGGGTTAGGGTTAGGTGCTCCAGCTCCTTGGTTTCTGTCAGTCAAATGAGGCTCCTCCCAGGACTGTGAAGGGTCTCTGATTAGATGGTTTGTGAGAGAGCACTTTGTAAACTGAGGACAAGAAGCCCAGGCCTGGCTTCTCTGAACATGCTGAACTTCCTGAGGTCAGCGGTCACAGCCAGGCTCCTCTGGCCTCCCTGGCACCCATCACCCTGGTGCCTGCTCCCCACAAGCTTTCCCCAGCAAGTCCAGGTTTGGAACAGGATCATGGCATCTGCATCTCTGGGCTCCTCTTTCTTCATCAGATGCCGTTGCCACTCCCCTGACTGCCCTGTTACCTCCTCAGTCCTCTGCCACCTCCTAAGGTCTTGCCTGCCTCCCAGCCCTGACTGCCCTCTCCCCCACTCCGGGCTTCCGCTGGTGCAGCTTTCAGAGAGCAGAGTGGGGCCCCAGCAGGAGGCTACAAAGCAGGACTGGGCAGCGTCCCTTGCTCCAACACTCACTGACCCCCTGCAGTCTGGGCCTGGGGAACACTGGAAGGCAGCCAGGGGAGACAGGGAGCCTGCCCCATGCGCCCCCACCGCCAGCCCAAGAGCCCCTGATCTCCCAGCCCCACTCTCACCCCATATCCACCAATGGCCCTCCATCTCCCTCAGCCCCCCACCACCTCCCACTCGCTGTCATTCCTCTAGCTCCTCCCATTCCTCTGACTCCTCACTGGCCTCTCCACTTCTGTTCCTTTCCCTAATCCATCCACTTTCCCAGGTAATTTGACACATGATGGCAAAAGTACTCTTGTTAAAAATGAACTGGGTCATGTCACTCCCTGCCTGACACCCCGCATGTCCCTCTGCCTCGTCTCCCGACGTGGAGGGGGCAGACCTCGTCTTCTTGCTCCAGACTCCTTTTCTCTTACTCCTGCCACACGGCCCTCTTGTTTCTGCCACAGGATCTTTGCACATGCTAATCCCTCAGCCCAGACTCCCCCTACCCCCTAGCAGCCCATCATGGCTGGCTCCTCCTCATCCTGCAGCTTCAACATCGCCACGTTTGAGAAACCTCCCATGGGATTCTTAATAAAGTAGCCCACCCTATTCTCCAGATCTCAGTTGCTGGATTCCCTTTGCCATAGCACTAATCAGAGCTTATGTTCATTCTAATTTATCTCGTTTATTTTCTGTCTATTTGGCTATATCCCAAGCTCCACAAGAGCAGGGACCATGTCTGTCTCATTCATGGTTGTCATTCTCAGTTTTAACAAAAGTGCCTGGCATAGAAAAGAGCTCAGGATCTGTTTGTGGATAAATGAGAATCATATGAATGAAGAAGCAAAGGGAGGAATGGTGGAGGGAAAGTTTACCCTTCCTGTGTTTATGAGCATGAAAGAAGGAGAGAGAGAGAAACAGAAAGACCCAAGAGAAAGAAGGGGAGAAGGCAGGCAGTGGTCTGGTCGAGGGTCTGCCTGGGTCTTGGGAGACGTGTGGGATCCTAGTTTCATGGTGCTGATGGGAAGAGAAGCAGGAAGAGGAAGGGACTCTGGACACGGCTGAAGGACTCTGCCCCAGGCACAGCTTGGGATGAGAAGAGGTCCTCATTCGTCTATTCCAGCTCAGCCACTCACTCCAGCTGGGTCACGTTGGCCAGTTTCTGCTCCACTCTGGATCTCAGTTTCCCAACTTGTGCACAGAAGGGTTGAACCATAATCTCCTCTAAGTTTCTAGCTCTGACCTTCAATGGGAGGAGAGGGCCCAGGAGTGGGGCTTGTTCTGGATCCTCCCCCTTTTTCTCCCTCTGCACCCTCCTCTCAGGCCCCTCTGCCAGGACCATGTCAGCTGGTTCCCCCAACCCTAACCCCACACAGGTGTGAGCTGATCGGTATGTACAGTAGTCCTCAGGGCTTTGCAGCTCTCACTGAGGGCTCTGGAGACTGAATCCCTTCACCACACTCAAAGGATTGACTCTCTGACGGTACATCTCACACTTTGGGTGGGTCTGGCGTCTGGGCCTGATGGATTTCACTGGAGGCTGTCAGGCCCTATTACTCACAGGCTCCCCAGCAGGTGTAAGGGGGTGGTGGCAGCTAATTTGCACCTGTTCTGTGTGGACTCTGATCAGGTGTGAATGAGACAGCTGCCCAAGTACACCTGCTCACGACAGCCCAGGAAGTGGTAGAAGTTTCTGCTCCTGCCGTGCGCTCACCATCAGGAGCAGGCAGCTACTCTGCAGGACTACCTGTCGCACAGACAAAGAGGGCATCTGTGCTGGGAGAGGAGAGTGGGCAGGCTGCTGCAGGCCAGGGAAGACCCCCACTCTATCGCTCTACCAGGCAAGTCAGAGGGCTGAGTGGGGTTGGGCAGCTCCACAGCAGCCCCAGAGTTCTGCCTGGGTCTTGGGGATGTGGCCCCCTCCCTGTGGGGTGTGGCCTGGGGACAGCAAGTGCAGGCTGTTGTCCCTCTTCCTTGTTCTGTGTCTGTTTGAGCTGCTGGCTGTCCTCAGGAAAAAGGGCGTGATAGAAGGTGGGGGAGCAGAGGCACCCTGTAGGTCTGACATGCTGGCATTGGAGGGGTAGCTGTGGGGGAGCAGCAGTGTGGGTTAGGAGTTCTGGCTCCCATACCATACTCCCCTTGGGTCTCAGTGTCCCCGGCTGTGAAATAGGGCAAAAGAATGCTTCCTCCTCTGTCAGGCTCACGGTGCTGGTGGGAGGTAGGAGGGTGGGAAGGGAAGAAACAGACTAGCCATGTTTAGGTAGGTGGAACCTCACAGTTTGGGTCCTATGGCTCTCACCCTGATCATGCTCAGGCCATAGCTGAATTTGAATCTGTCACCTAGGGGCAGTTTGAAAGCTGGGGGAAATGGGAAAGGGGCCAGGTCCCTGGATCTTGCCTGCTTTGAGCATCAAGAGTCCCTCCCAAAGCTGCTAATAGGCCTAGAGGGTGGATGGTGATGGGTCAAGGGGAGGTGGCCGGGCCCAAGGTGGGCCCAGCCCTGTCCTAGCTAATGGAAGAGGCTCTGTAAATAGCTGCTGAATTAATAAATAAATGAATGAACTGAATACTTAATCAGCAGACCAGTTAAACCTCTTTAGCCACAGTACTGGAGGAAAAAGCTCAAGGAGGCCCTACACTTCAGCTTGTGGGCCCAGGCACTATCCCAGGAGGGGAAGAATAGAATAGGAAACAGCTGGGCTACGGGCTAAGCGGGAGCATGGGCATCTCCCCTGCCCCTAACATAAGATTCGGGGAGACACAAGGCTCCGGGAGGTTCCGGTCCCCACTGCAGCACAGAGACGGTACACGAGGAGCAGCGCTTTGGCTGAGCCCCTGCCCCCACCTCCAGGGCAGAGACGGAAGGAGCAGAGGCTGGACCATCTTCATCCTCATCATTGCTGCCAAAGGGCTTGTCTTCACAAACTCCTTTTGCTATTTTGGAAAGGCCTGGCTGCTTTTTTCGTTGTTGACGCCTCCGCTCCACACCCTCAGGTCAGCCAGAAGGGGCCAAGGGCAAGGTGTGGGGCCTGCTCAAAGCTTGGCCCCTTCCCACCCCATCCCACCCCCACCCCTGAGGGCCCCAGCCCTGGTACCTCCAGAGCTGCGTGGTTGCAGCCGACGTAGCGGGGGATGAAGCTGTTCTTCCGAACGACTGTTGCGTACAACTGAGTCTTGGCAGTGGCTTCGTCGGCTTTCCCAGACTGGGTGGGCTGGAGACAGTGTGGGGGCAGAAGACACAGAGGAAGGAGAGCATCTAAGGGGCAGATCATGGCCATAAATCCAGCCCACTGCAGACAATCACTGGGCATTGCTCCACTGGGGCTCCGAGCTGATAATTAAAGCTCATGGTCCCTGCGAGCCCTTCCAAGGAGATCAATATAATAAATCTTCCCTTTTCCATTTGAATATTTCATCACCCTCACAAGGACCACTGCTTGTCTGCTCACCAGTAAGGACGTGATAACAAGGCCTGGGCTGTAAGTAAACAGGCAGCCAGGGGGCCTGGGTGATGCCCCCAGAATTACGGCTCAAGTGCCTAGTCTCTCAGGGTGAGTAACTATCTCTCTTTTACTTCTCTGAAGCCTTGGGATTGGGGTTCCCTGTGGGGCCTGAGAGAAGGTAAAACCCTAAGGGAAGGTAAAGGGAAGGTAAAAGCCCACAGTTGAAGAGTGGCTTAGAAGAAAGTTCAGTGCCAACCCAGAGGAGGGAGGGAGGGAGAAGGGGAGCTGACCAAACTGAGCACCTATTGTGGGCCAAGAACCTTGCCTATCATTGCATGGGACCCTCAAAATGACTGTGCCAGCTTTGCCAATGAGGATGGAGCCCTGGGGGTTAAGTGGCTTGCTTCCCATGGGTATCCAGCTAGGAGGCAGCAAGCCTGGGATAGAACCCTGACAATCTGGCTTTGCATTGTCCATTACTGTCTGCCACTATCGGGGTCTGGAGTGCATAGTGGGGAGAGGAATACGATGCATCTGCTCATCTCCTGGCACATAGTAGGTGCTTCATAAGTCTTTGAGCAATAAGAGAGTGAATTCTACCCCTTACCCCTCAGCACTAGGAGGGAGGACAGGCAGGGGTCTGGCCTGGGAGGTCCAACCTTGAAGTGAGGAGCCTCAGGCCCCTCAGTTCATGGCTTGAACCCAGTTGCTCACTACAGGGGTGCATTCCAGGAAATGCTTTATCCCGTGTACCCCCCAACTCTCCTGGGCCTTCTGACCAAGGCAGCATGTGGAGGCAGCTCAGAAGGAACTGGCCTGGAACACGGCATGACCTGGGCTCACCCTCAACTCTGCCGCTCACTTGCTCACTTGCTCTGTGACCCAGAAGGAGGAGATTTTTCTCCTCAGGTCCCAGTCCCGCGTCTGCAAAATGTCATTTAGCTTGAGAATTACAGGGGGGTGTGACGTGTCTAGCACAGGGCCTGGAAGCAGCAGGTACTCTGTAAATATTGTGTTTTTTCGATTTTTAGATTCTCTCTTCTTTTAACATTTGTGAAATCAGAATATATCTTTAACTGGTGTATTCATTTAACGTGGCAGTTGTCCTATAATAATCAGCTGTTTCACAGAGATGAATTTGGAGAATTCTAAATTCTTGTAGACATCACTCTTGTGTATGTGGCAGGAGCTGTGTCTCTTGAGCCCCACCTGGTCCTAGACTTGTCACGCTGTGGGTGGGTGTGATGCCCAGGGCTGCTCTGAGGCAAAATCTGGGGGCATCGAGGTGGTTCCCACTTGCTCTCCCTGTACTTCCTCAGGCCTCTGACTCACCTTCACCAGCTCAAAGTGGTAGGGGTGGAAGACACGCAGGTACTTGACGGGTATTTTGTAGGACAACAACTCCTCTTTCTGTTTGTTGTCTACCACCTGGAGAATCACATCTGGAAATAAAAGAAATGAGCACAGATTCTGTTTTAAATGGACCCCTTTCCCTCCCAGTAAGGAGAGACAGTGAGAGGCGAGAGACATCACCAGGAGTAGAGAGCAGGGGCCACACAGTAAATCAACATGCACGCACATGTGTGGATCACCCCTGTGCACACAAACCCACAAGCACAGTCTAAGCCCCTACACAGGGCGAGGCTCCATGCCAGCTGCTGTTAGGACCCCAACATGCAATTTTCTCCAGTGGTCTAGAAACTCCCAGCCCAGAGACAGACACACACAGAACTGAGTTCAGACCCCTGTGACAACAGACACACATGTGCACACACTGAGTACACAGGCAAACAGGCATGGCACCTCTTTCCAGGAATAAGACTCCTTCTCTTGGTCACAAACACTTGTGCCAGCTCTTGATGGCACAAGGATGGGGAGAGATTATCTCACACATGTTGCAGGTGGAGAGACTGAATTTCAGTTGGAAAAAGTGATTTGCTCAAGAAATCCTTTAATGCAGCTATCAATAAAAGTCTACTACAAGTCAGGGAAAACTGGTCTAAATACTAAGAATAATGGACCACTTGGTAAACACCTCCCAAAGAGACTATATTGTCTCATAAAATGGCATGAACATTGGTATAAACTTTTTTTTTTTGAGACAGTGTCTCACTTGGTCACCCAGGCTGGAGTGTGGTGGCATGATCTCGGCTCACTGCCACCTCCGCCTCCTTGGGTCAAGTGATTCTTCTGCCTCAGCCTCCTAAGTAGCTGGGATTACAGGCACTCACCACCATGCTTAGCTAATTTTTGTATTTTCAGTAGAGACAAGGTTTTGCCATGTTGGCCAGGCTGTTCCCGAACTCCTGACTTCAGGGTATCTGTCCACCTCGGCTTCCCAAAGTGCTGGGATTACAGGCATGAGCCACCATGCCCAGCCAGTATAAATTTTAAGGAGAATACCAATGTCCTATAAATAATCATGACAGTGCTGTTTAGTGGGCAGGACTGCCATGATTATTTAGTGAGCATCTACTATGTGGCAGGCATGGGGATGGGCACATCTCAGCCATGATTCCAACAAATTCTCACCACAACCCCTCAGGTGGGTATCATCATCTCTCTTCTTAAAATATGAGCAGTGGGGCTTAGAGGGTTATATAACTTGATCAACATCACACATCTAGAAAGTAGATGATGGGAAGGGTTGGATTTGGTGACACCCAAGGCATCTTTCTATTCTAGAAACCTATGATTTGAGGAGGAAGAAGAGATGGGGAGAAAAGAAGGAGAAGGATAGAGGAGGAATGGAGCAGGAATGAGAAAGATGGGGTAAGAAGTGATACAAAACAAAGAATAGGAAATGGAGGATGGGGCGGAGAGGCGTGCCTGAGGGAAACGGGACCCCTTGCCCTCTGCTTCTCTTGACACAAGAGATTTCAGCACCAGGGACAGCAGCTGGCCCTTGAGGGCTCTGCAGGTTCAGTGGGCTCAGCGGCTGGGTCATTTGGAGCTGGATGGGTCATTTTGAGAAGAAAGTTGAGGGCTTTGCTAAGTATTCTTCCTTTCTCTGTCTTCCCCACAGCTACCCTGAACACTTGCCAAGGTGTCTCAAGAACTGGCCACATGGGATCCGTGCTCAAAGGAAAGAAGGAGGAAAGGGCACCAAAGGTGTTGAGATTGACTTGAAGAAAGGAGACTGAGGCAAAGATTTGAAGTCAGCAGACCTGAGTTCTAGTATCAAGACACTCACTTGCTCTGTGACTGTTAGCAAATCTTTTAGCCCCTCTGAGCTTTATGTTCCTGCTCTTCGGCAGGTTAAGACTTGAATAAAGAAACCGTGTCTCTCCCGTTGGATTGTGGTAGGGAGAAGACTGTGTTTTCACCCAAGCTATAACATTCTGTGCAAGCACTCCTCGTGGCTGCAGCTCTCCATACACAAACCCTGCTGTGGGCAGACCTGAGGAAACTCAGCTGGGGGATTCCAATGCTCCCAGCCAAAGCACTACCAGGAGCTGGGCAGACTGAAGCCCCTTATGCCCACTCACCAAGGACCAGGAGTCCCCAGATCCAGTTGGGATTTGCCAGGGCTGAAGGAGAGGTGAGTGCCGTGCATTTTCCGCACCCTCTATTTTTGGAGCTCTGTGTGGGCAGTCATCAGATGAGCTGGAATTGGGGGTAATGGACAGCCACTCCTCCCTGCTCCTGTCTGCATGCTACAAACACGCTTCATCAGCTTCCTCTCTGGGCATTGTGCCCTTCCGGCCTCCCACTGCTCCCTTTGTGTGGCCAACAAGCTATTTCTGCCACCCGCCTGCTTTGGCCCTGACACAGGGTCTGAAACTCCCCTTTGCTTTTCATTAACACGTCCTTGAGCTACCTCCCATCCTTCCCCCGCCTCTTGGCCTGGCCCCCATCTCCCCCACCCCCACCGCAGACATCACCACAGCAACCGGTTCCAACAACCATCCAGCTACTTCAATCTGCAATGAGGCGCCTGCCAATATTCCCCGCCTGCCCAGACGGCCTCCCCACTCTCTTGTCCCTCCTGCAGTTAGTCCTGCCCCTCTCTCTGCTGCACAATGGGCCCTCGGGTCACTGACCTCATTATATTTTTCCCTCTGTTACCCCAAGTGTGTAGAGCCCAGGGCAGGATCCCAGCTCAGGTCCACTCGCCACAATCTCTAACTTCCCACCAGCCACATAAATACATGCATGCATGCATACACACACTAGGCATGCACACAAACTGCACATACTCATGCACTGCAAGGCACACACCACCATCCAGATCCATCCAGACACACACACACCACACTGTTGCAGCCAGACACACCCACGCACACACACACACACACAAGACACACAGACACGCATGCCTACAAGTAGACACAGCACGCATCACATTCACACATGCGCATGAACCAGCATGCAGGCATTCACAAAGACATGCACACACAGGCACGCATGTGCCTCTGCATGAAATCTTAGGTCAATTTTTCCTCCTTTTTTGCATCTTGTTAAAGCATCCCAGCAGCTCCACCTATCCCTTTACAGGCAGAAAAGAAAAATTCTCTGGCTTGACCTAGAACTAGCTCCTTCCCCTTTTATGGAGGCTCCTGCTCCGTTTCTTTTGTCCCCTTCCACAGTCTTCAGCTGGCTTTCTGCTCTTTGTGAGGAGAACAAGGAGTTCTGTCTAGGTCCCTGGCAAGATTTCAAGGGAGAGAGGCAAAGCCTGTCCTCTCAGGGAGAGACCACCTGCAAGAAGCAAGTCTGAGGTTCCGACTAGATAAGATCAGAGACATCATCAGGCACCTCCGGTCTGTGCTGACAGTGCCCGATGCGATGCCGCACAGTCTGGGCATCAACCAGTCAGCATTTCCATGCGCCCCGCTGAGCTCCCCCAGGAGCTCAGCCCACAGTCCAACAGACCCCCAGTGTGAAAGTAGATACAAGTGTGCACATGCATGCGTGTACGTGGCACCTGCTGGCTCAGGCTGAGACCTGGGGAGGACTAGGAAGGAATAGGGATCCATTCTAGGGACCTTCCAAATATTTTTTTAAAAATCAAATGGAAGCAGCAAGAACCCTGGATCTGCAGTGAGAGCATGCCATGCGGAGTCCTTGGTCCTCAGTCTTCAGCTTAAGCCAGTTAAATTCCCTGAACCTCAATGTTCTCTTAAGCAATGGAAGCAGCATTGCTCCTCCTGGGAGGTGGTGACTCCAGTGAGCGATGTGTAGGGACGTGCTGGGATGCTGTAATGTCCTGTTTCAGTGGGAGACGGCAGTAATAACAGCCATGAAAATAATAACAACAGTCATAAAAAAAGATAAGCTTGCATTGTCTGGAAAATTCATTTATGTGGAACAACTCATTTTTCGAGCAGGATGGGGAGATGAGGCGTGACAGTATTATGATTTGTTCTAAGTGCTTTTAGCTGAGCCCAGGGAAGTGTTCAGGTGGCTACCAGCTGTGCTGAAAGGGAGCCTGCTTCTGCCCTAAGTCCTTGGCCGTGTTCCCCCTCTGCCTGCACATGCAGGTCCTGCCCAGCCCCCACCTCACCTTCTCGCCCTGCATCCTCAGCTGGGATCTCCACGTTCACCGTGTCCCCCCAGATAGGGGCTCTGGTGGGCTCTGAGGTCACAGATGTGACTGCCTTGGAGCTCTGGTTGTTCTTTTCCTCAGATGTGGTTTTCCTGGGGAGAACAGGGGCAGAGTAAGTCAGAGGGAGGGGTCCTGTCTGTTGCTTATCCCCCTTCCAGGCTCCACTGTCCATAAATCTGAGTGAAAGGTGGACAGAACATGGAGAGCTCCTTCCCACACACATGACTCTCATGACATCCCAGGCCCAGGGGACTCCAGGCCTCTCCTCCAGCTCCCCTGCCAGCCCAAGTGACCACACTGTCTTGCTGGCCACTGCTGAGGCCTTCACTCAGACACAGGCCTCTCACTTAGGCTCAGGGCAGGGGTGGGGGTGGGGGTAGATGTCCTCGTGAGGGAGGGCTCTCCAGTTGGTGCCCGCGTGCACGGCCTTCCTCTTCTCTAGGTTCTGTTTGGTGGGAGGAAGCCTCTGGGCAGGGTGGCTGTGCGGTGCCCCGCCTGGCTGTCCTCTATTCTTCACCTTATTTCCCTAAACTTCTGGCCTAGATTCTAGGCTCCGCCCAGCAATCCCAGTTCTAAATGCTTGTAATGAAGCACGCATATGGTGCCTTCTGTGATGCCTGCTGGTGCAGAGCTGTGGGCTGGACCCCTGGAGGTGGGCCCCTGGAGCTGGGTCCGGGCCTGGGGGGAGGGGGTGGTGGCAAGGGCTTCCCAGCCCTGCAGCACTCAGATTGTTCAGGATTGGCCTATCCAAGGTGGCGTGTGAGCTTGGGCCCTCTGCATCCCACTGCACCTCACAGGTATTTGAGATGCAGAGCCGTCAAACGGCTCAGGAGAGAGTGAATTCTTCTCCTGTAGAAGAGGTTAGTAGGCCAGGGCCATCCGCAATGCTGCTCCATTAACTGCAGCAGTCACAGGCTAAGGAGTCATCCCAGAGGTCCTGTAGCAGGGGGAGCCACACCGTACCCCTTGTAGGGGGGAGGCAAGGTACACAAACGGCACCCCAGGATGGAAGCAAAGATGTCATCCCCACCAGCCCTTGTTCCACCCTCAAGGCCCCCAAAGGGAGAGTGGGGCAGGCCAGTTAGCTGAGATCCCATCTGCCCTGTGCATTTGCAACATCAACGTTGTTCTCCCCAGCCCAGCTTGTTCCTCTCCTCCTGGAAGCCCTCTGGAGCCCCCTGGTCCTCACGGTCCCTCTGTCCTTTAGATTTAAGTGATGCTGTAACCTGGCTCCTTGCCTCCACTCCTCAGAGTCCTGCTCCTGTGGGTAACCATGCTTCGGTGGGTTCCATCCCCCAGCTCCAGGGGTCAGCTGAGGACTCCCGCTCTGCTTCGATTGAGAGGCAGTGTGACACAGTGATTGTAACAGGGACCCTGTAGCCAGGCATTTTGAGTTCCAAATCCCAGCTCTACCTACTACCAGCTGTGTGACATTGGGCAAGGTACAGAATCTGTGGTGCCTTACTTTCTTCATCTATAAAACAAGATGGTGCCTGCAGGGCTGCAGTGGGAATGAAAGGAATGAATGTGTGTAGTGCTTGGCACATTGCTAAGTACCAAGAAAGTGTTAATAATTCTTAGTACCTTAAACTATTAAAATATAAATATAATTCCTTGTTATTACCCCATAGCACTGGAGAGCTTAGCCTCATTGACCCTCCTGCGACCTTTGCCCTGGTGTGATTACTCCCCATCATGTCCCCAACTTTGGGACTACAATTGTGGATGTCTGGCTGGCTGCTCTGGCCAAGGTGTGGAATCCTGGAAAGAGCACAAGCTTGGGAGTGACTCAGAGCTGGATTTGGAGTCCACGTTTATCCTGGCGGAATCACCCCTCCTGCATCTAAGTTCCTCCTTTTTCAATAGTACCCCCCTCAGAGAGCGGTTATAAGGACCAGAAAGAAAGCATGTTCAGCTCCCAGCACCCAGGAAGCCCCAGTTCATGTGATGCCCTTGTTTGTGATACAAAACGGCCTGGGCACTTTCTTTCTTTCCTTCCTTCCTTCCTTCCTTCCTTCCTTCCTTCCTTTTTTCTTTCTTTTTTTCTTTCTTTCTTTCTTTCCTTCTTTCTTTCTTTCTTTCTTTCTTTCTTTCTTTCTTTCTTTCTTTCTTTCTTTCTTTCTTTCTTTCTTTCTTTCTTTCTTTCTTTCTTTCTTTCTTTCTTTCTTTCTTTCTTTCTTTCTTTTTCTTTCTTTTTGAGATGGAGTTTCGCTCTTATTACCCAGGCTGGAGTGCAATGGCGCAATCTCGGCTCACCTCAACCTCCGCCTCCTGGGTTCAAGCAATTCTCCTACCTCAGCCTCCCGAGTAGCTGGGATTACAGGCTACACCACCAGGCAGTCTGGGCCTTTTCTTAAGAGGACCTGCCTGATGGCAGCACAAAGGGGAAGGAGGGAGGCACTGAGTACGAGCTGGAGTGAGAAGGGGCATCTCTCAGAGAGCCAGAGTCCTTCTCAGATGAGCGTCCATCCATACACATCACCTCCGCAGGCCCTGCAGAACGTGCTCCTCACGCCTGCAAAGGAGCGTGTGGGAGGCTGCCAGGCTGGAGACGGAGGGCAGAAGCCTGTCAGGGATGATCAGCTTGCTCCCTCTACCCTTAGGTCCCTTTTTCCCTCTGGTTCTGTGACCAGGCTTGACCGAGGGGTGCAATCTAAGCACCTCATACGACACTCTGCGCCCGGCTCCCGCTCCTGACAGCTGCCCCAGCAAAGTCAGAGACCTCAGGCTCTGAGCAGCCTCCCTGTGCTACCCAGCCGCCCGATCTGCTACTTACGGATATATAGTTAGATATATAGTTAGGGCACAATGAGGCCTCACAGCCTCCCTCCTCAGGGACCTGCACAGAAACAGCAGGATGGAAGTGCCAAGGGTGTGTCAGGAGGAAGTCAGTCCTTCTGCACCCAAATGTCAACCCCAGAGCTGGGCACAAAACCTGCACCTGCACGGGCACATTCCTGGGGGATTCCCAGGGATCTTCATGTGGCTCTGTGTGCACAGAGAAGACACAGCTGAAGATGTGAAGTCACAGGCAGCAGAGTGACAGGATTCAGGTTGTACCCCATGCCCCATACTTGCCAGCCTGTCTTCTATCCTCATATCCCACCAACCCCTGCAAGCTCCTGGGAGGCTGGCAGGAGGAATTAATTCCCAGGTGCAAGGAGGTGGGAAAGGGCCATGGGGCAAGGCAAGGGGGCAGGTGCTGACTTCCATCCGGCATAGAAACAGTTAAGCAACTATTTTCCTCACCTCCCCACCCCATCTAATACAAGGAAGGTCATCAGGGCTAGGTGAGCACAGATAAAGCAACTGGGTGGGAGGGGGAGGCCCCAGGGGAATGGAGAGGCTTTTAGCAGGTGGAGGGGGGCTGTCAGGGTAATGGCTTTTCCTGGCACAGCTGACTCTTCCCAGCCCTGATGCTATTCTAGAATCTGGAGAGCAAGAAGGGCTTCTGATTCTTCACAGAATAAGAGCAGGGGACCAGCTCTCTCCCTGCTCCCAGCCCCCATTCTGCACACTGCAGATGGACATGTGGCTGAGTTCTAGGTCCCCAGGTTCCCTCGGGCCTCCCAATGCAGTCTTAGAGCCCAGGAGACCTCTCCAAGATCCACCCCCATAGGCCTCTCCTCAGGCTGTCTGCAAGGAGAGACCTCCCTCCCGTTCCCCCAAAGACCTGCCCTGTTGGTTTGGACCTGCTAGCTCCAGACATTCAGGGCCAGGAGGAGCTAATGGGTGATGTCTGCTGTCTCAGGGCCAGATTTAATCCAGCCGCAGCCTGGGCAGCCATGCCAGGATAGGACTGGAATTGGGTTTAGAGGTGCAGTGCAGCAGCCCTGAGACCAACCTGCAGGAAAATGTAAACCACCTTCAACCTGGCGGACCCGCCAGGTACCGTATTCTCTTCATCTATAACAGGAGATGGTAACAGGCTACTGGAAGTGTGTGTGTCTTTGACAAACTTCAGTCCCTAGCCAGGCATTTCTGGGGCTCCCACCCTAGCAGGGAGTGAGGGGGCCAGGCCCAAGCACAGCTATGAGTGGGAGGGAACAAGGACTTTGCTTTCCTTCGGCAAGGTCACGACTAAGGGAAAATGTGTCATCTGGTTCCTGGGGGCTGCAGCGGTGAGGAAAAAGTGAGCATGGGAAAAGCACGGGACTTGATGGAGAGAAAGCAAGAGTGCTCATGAGCCACTTTCTCCTTCACCCCAGGGGATACACACACATCCACACATGCACACGCACACACACGCACACAAGTGCATGCGCACACACATCTGTACATGCACAAAAGCTGCCCAGAGAGGTGTGAGTACCATACTCTACCCACCCTCTAACCTGCCAGCCCTCAAGCTGCCTCCAGGGTCTTCTCTTCACACCTGAGCCCACCTGCCCCACCTGCCCTGCCTGTCCTCTTGGCCTCTGACTCCCCTCAAAGCCTCAAAGCAGGAACACTAGTCAAGGCCTGACCTCCTCCTGGGCAGAGCTTCAGAAGGCAGGGCACAGGTGGCCTGGCTTGTTTTGAGTGCCAATCCCAGGACTGCCACCAGGAAAGCAAAGGAAAGAGGAGGGCCCCGACTCAGGTCTGCTGTGGCTGCCGGGGTCCTGGCTGGGCAGGCTCATAAATCCTAAAAGACTAGAGGGTGGTGTTCCCAGAAGCACCTTGGGAGGGAAGCTGTCAGGCAGGCACTGAGAAGGATGGATAAAGAGCAGATCTTGGCCGGGCGTGGTGGCCCATGCCTCTAATTCCAGCACTTTGGGAGGCGGAGGCGGGTGGATCAACTGAGGTCAGGAGTTCAAGACTTGCCTGGTTAACACAGTGAAACCCCGTTTCTACCAAAAATACAAAACATTAGCCGGGCATGGTGGCATGCGCTTGTAATCCCAGTTACTCAGGAGGCTGAGGCAGGAGAATCGCCTGAACACGGGAGGCAGAGTTTGCAGCGAGCCAAGATGGTGGACTAGGAGGTCTTAAGCCCCTTTGACCTGGTCTATCATAGCCCATTGCTGGCTCACCTGGGAAACCGAGAGGGAGGTAAGGGAATTGGCAGTCCTCCAGGCCAGCTGTCGGATGTCATGGTGGGGCCTCCATCTTT